TACATCTTGTCCCCTAATTTTTGGATGGAATTTTTCCCATGATGCTATTGCTGCTCAAATAAGTTTCACCGTCTCACGCAATTTCATGCTTCTTCTCAGTCACCATCATCCATATTTTATTTATTTATTTTTTTTCATCTTAGATGTCGACACAGTTGCATCCGAAACAAGTTAATAATTAAATAATAGAATATACCACTTGATAAGTATACTTGTTAAGAAATATTTGTATTTTTACTCAACAATTATTTTTTATTACTTTTTAGGTTAAAGTATACTTTTAGTAATTTAACTTTATGTAAGGTTTCAGTTTGGTTCCTTAACTTTAAAAAGTATACTTTAGTCCTTTAACCCTAAAAATTATTATTCTTAAATAATAATTTTTTTGTAACAATTATGGTTGTTTTAAAAAATTAAACTTCATATTATAGTAATATTTTATCAATATTCAAGAGCTCATATCATCGTTCTTTTGTTAATGATTCTAAGGTTAGAGGACTAAAAGTTTATTTTTTTAAATTAAGGGATCAAAATAAAACTTTATGTAAAGTTAAAAGACCAAGAAAATACTTTAGGCCTACTTTTTACTCAAGAACATATATATGACACTTCACATTTATTTTATTTTTTTTAATGTTATCATCCTTCTCTCCTCACTCTATTTCCGCCAGTCAGAAGATTCCTCATATATACGGATTCATCAATTTGCTTTACTTAACTCGAAAGTTGAATTTCCAATTTCCACCTTATTGAAGTGAAGAAATCGCAAGTGTGTCTGTTTTCTAGTTGTTCTTAGTTTTTTTCAAAAAAAATATTTTTAAAAAAGAGAAAACAATCAAGTAAACGAATCAGGGTCGGATCCTTGAAACTCAGAAGGCTTTTAACTTCATATAAATAAATATATATATTTATATGTTGTGTGTGTGTGTGAAAAAGAACAGACGACAAAATTCTCATTTCATGTGTTTCAATTTAAAAACTTATCTTAAGTTGCGGATTAAACTTGTAAACTGTCCTACGTATATTATAAGAACAACAACCAGGTATTCCATCCAGATCTGGACACAATTATTTCGTCTTATATTATAATAACAACATGTTTGTAGTTAAACCTTTTTCCCCTGGACAACAATATAATGTAGTTATCAAATTAAAGCAAATTAAATGATTAACGTTTATTAAACGTGGATGTAGACAAATTGTTTCGTCTGCTGGTAACACGTTCTGCGAAACGTGTCTCTCTCCGCCCGTCAACTTCTGTGCATTCATGTAGCTATTGGAGTTGAAGAGAAAGAAAACAGAATGCGATGACCCTATCTACCGTTCCAATTAAAAAAATAAAACCGGAGAGCACAGGAAAAATATGTTCCGTTCTATTTATCGTATTTTTGTGCATTAAAAAAAGGGATAACGATGATGATATAATTTAATTTAGTGTATATATATCTGGACTCGCAGTCGAAAATGATATTTATTTCCCTTGTTAACTAAAAAATAGGTTATTTTAGTATTTCTGACAGCCCACATGTTGAAGGAATGCCTGTTTAGAGAAAAAAGGAATATGGGGTAAATCCTGTGTTATTATGACAATATATATGTCTCTCTTCTGAAAGTTGCTCTGGGCACAGGAATATTCATCCACACAAATAACGCCATGGAGAAGCAAATGGCTGACATTATGCGACCAGGTCCCTTAAATTCCTAGGTACAGACATTAGAAGAAACAAAGTGTCTGGCCAACTTTAGAGAGGCCTTTCCTCTCCTCTTTTTTTTTTTTTTTTTTTAATTTATACCGCAAAACCCCCCATAACCTAAGCTAGCTATCCATTTAATAATCATCCTGATTTAGCGCTTTGGATCGGATTTGTATGTCATCGATTTATATAAATACAAAAGCACTCTTATTTAATCAAGTGGGCAGCGATTAATTGAAAGCAGTGTCACTAGCCAGTGAAGTCAAATATATATGGCATGGTTGGCACATGCACGAATAGCAAATGAGTAAATTAATTTTCTTTTGGCCAGAGACCTAAGATTCCCCCAAACACATATGGTTAAAAGTCATATTCTGTGGCCTTGACTCGAAGCAAATATGGCATATTTTAAAGTGTGGGGTGACAATTATAATTATGTGCTTTCGAAGACTTTGACCATAAGCAAAAGTTTAATTAAACTCCCTTTGGTTAGAGATTGTTAGATAGACAAAGGTTTCGTACTGAATAAGCTGAGGTGTGAACAATAAAATAGAGAGTTTGTGATGGAAAAGGATGCCGACCTCTCTTGTGTTCGTCTGCCTTCTGAGCTTGTTTACGCTCATGTACGAGTACGAGAGGGAAATTAAAGATACATCCATGTCTTTGAATATATTTGAATTTGCGTTACATTTAATACTATGGGCTTTTAATTTCTGTGTCTGTCGTACATACACACACACACGAGCTAGCTGCAGAGTTCTGAAGGATGATAATTAAAATTATTATGAGGGCTGAAAATGCATCACGAGGGAAGCGAGGAGAGAGAATATTCCTTCTTCTTTTTTTTTTTTTTTTTTGGGGTGTGAGAGGGACATAATATTGAATTATGAGATTTGAATTGGCCTCATATATAGCTCCATGCAACTTTCGTGACCACTGACCAGCAAGGAACTGGCCAACCTGCTTATGTCATCCCACTCTTTCGAACCCAAAAAACAAAGAGTAATTAACCTCGTCTAGTGGACCCCACATTGACATTGTCCAAAACATGCATGAACCTTAACACAGAGAGAGGCAAAGTGTTTACTAAATAATCTTTGATCTTTCTTATATGTTCCAATCAAACTTTGACCTGCCTAGCTACATTATATGTCCATGTCTATGAACACACGAGAACTGCTAGTAAATTATAAATCACACACAGGAACTAAGTAATTGTAAAGATGTCAGCTTCTCCTCTCTCCCCCCCTTCTGAGTCGGGTGTTAATTAATCCTCCTTTTTGAAACTGTGGTTAATGCTAATTAATCAATAACACCCTTCAATTTCGTCCCAGCGGCTTCATGTCAGCATAGCCAAAATCAACCAACTCGTGAGGATAGAAACTTGAAGCGAATTCACCAACTTTCTCTTGGGAGGTGTAAAAGCCACTATTGACGAAGTCAGAGGGAAATCCAAACCCCAAGTTCATTAGCAATTGGGTTGCTTCGTCGCCGCCGCCAGCATGATCCGGCAGCGATAGACATTTGTTCTCCGTTGTTGCAATTAAAGATGAATCCGAAATGCTTGAACCTTCCTGAGACAAGGACATCATGCTTGAGCTTGCGTTGATTTCTGAGACATCTGTGAACCCTGGACTGTATAACTGAGTTGGGTCAAAAGTGATCATGCCGTGATAAGTGTTAATGTGAAACCCAGAATTAGCGTCCGTCAGGATAGGCAGAGTTGAGGAAGATGATGAAGTGAGGTTTTGCGAAGCAGTAGGAAAATCGCAATTTTGGTTTTGGATTTGAACATTATGAGTCAGTAGTAATGGGGTGGGAGGAAGAGTAGTAGTGTGAGTGTCGGTCACTGTTTTGAGGTTCACTTTTCCTGCCATTAGCTTCTTCTTTAACTTGGTGTTCCAGTAGTTTTTCACGTCATTGTCTGTTCTGCCAGGAAGCTGAGAGGCTATGGCAGACCATCTGAAGAATAACAAAATTCACGATACTAAGTTAATTAAGAAAGACTTTTTAGTAAAAGGGGAAATATGTATTGATGATATGGAAATATGTACCTGCTTCCCATTTGCCCGTAAAGGGTACAAATGATGTTGTCTTCTTCTTCAGTAAAGCCTCCATGTTTGATGTCTGGCCTGAGATAATTGAGCCACCGCAGACGGCAGCTCTTGCCACACCTCCGAAGGCCTGTGATGTAATACGAGGTCACTTGAGGCAAACGTTTGAGAATAAATAAATAAATACATCAGTCTAGTTTTTTTGTGAACATCAGAACAGAAAAATATGACTGCTTCTGGAAAAAGTTGCTGCAGAGGAGAACTCCCATCCTCCGCCTGAAACTACAGATACGCCGAAAAACTATTTAAAAAAAAACCAAAACAAAAAAAGCAGAGAGACAGAAGGCATATATGCCGAAAACGAGGTTTTCTGGCGGAGGCCTAGGAATCTGAGCAAATGGTTGTCCTGCTACGCAAAACAACACCATCTGTTGTGCAGGGTTATTTCAAATTGAAGCAAGAAACAATAGAACAGAAACCCTGCTCTGTAAATGGAATTCTCAACCTCACAGACTCATGAGTACCGTCAAAGAAGAAACGCAAACAAATTCGAACAACAGATATGGAAAAGGTGAGATGAAAAATTATAGTAGTGGATAAGGAAATAGAAAAGAGAGAGACCTGCTTTACGGGGCAATGCAATCCAATTACCACCAGTGCCATGAGTTTGGACATAAGTCCTGAGAGTAGCGTCTTCTTCGGGTGACCAAGGGCCTCTCTTAACATTGGCTTTGTCACAGCAAGGAGCTCTTCCCATGGCCTCTTTTAGAAGCAGAGCAAGAGAGATAGGAAGGAGATTTGGAAGTGAAGCAGGGACCAGTACTTATAAAACACAACGCTCGAGTGACTTTCTTTCACCAACGGGGGCGTCTGGTGAGAGTGGGGTTATAAGGTTGGATCCCCCTTACCTACGGCTTGACTTTCTGTGGCACACTCCTCTTTTGTTTCGCTCTCATCTTGTTTTAAGATCCAGCTTTTGTACGTTTTTTAACGTCTCTAGTAACTAAATAAATAAATAAAGCACAATTTGATGTTTGCTACTCTTTATTTTGCCATTTAAAATTTAATAACAAGTCTTTCAAAAATACTTTATTTGAGTCAAGTCAATAAAAGTATTCTTTTTCATCTAAAAAAATTGTAGATATTTTTTATTTAATTCTGTCTTAAATTAAGTCGTCCTCTTGTACTGCGCCACGCTTTCATTTTAATTATACTAATAATATGATATTAATTGGTATTAATAATTGTTTTTTCCCCTGATGATTGCTTCTTCTTCTTTTTTGTAAAGTTAGTTTTGTAGTGACAAAAATGCAAAGTTTGCTTTTCAATAAATAGAATGCATACTAACAATACAGCTATATCTTAATTGCTGTTGTGTGTACTGCAATTGCCTTTTAAATATTGGTTTATACAATCCCACAAGTGTGATAGAACATACTAACAGGACACATTATAATTATTAATAAAATAGACTTTATATTTTAAAAACTAATAAGAACAAAATATGTAACTTGAGGCAACTTATATTTATCAAATTTGATCACTACTATTCAGAAGTTATTGATTTTCTTTTATAAAAACACATCATACAATATAGGAATTGATTTTATCAGTATTCAAAATTAATGTTTGCGGACCCTGCATTTAAAATTAAAAAAATGTACTAATAATTAGGTCGAAGAAGACAATTGAACTTGTGTTTTTGTCGTCTAATCTATTGTTTATCTAATAGCAACAATAAGTAGTAATAACTGTCCTAATAATTAAATTGTTTTATCGGCGTGCGAAGGAAACTTCTGCTCACACATTTTAAAAGACGGTCAGAGGCGGAACATTCAAGACACATTAATTTAACCCAATAAGTCCAAAAGAAAGAAAGAAAAAAGACATAAATCTAACGTCGTGGCCATTTAATTAAGTACAGTGGATGGCGACTTGTGTGAGTGAAATTGAAGTGGTTGTTAGAAACTTGGAAAATTACAGCGAGGGTGAAAATTTCAAAGGCCCTAAATGATGGTGCCGTGCTAAAGCTCTATGTTTATCCCGTGAAACCTTGAACTTTTCCGGGTTAATTTCCAAAGCCTCGGATAATTTGTTCGCAGGGGGATGTATCTTTAATGGCAACTGGGAAGAGCAGGGTAGCTGGAAATGTCAATGACTGGCTTTAATTCTGGCTCTCCAGGTTATTTTTCTTGGCCACCTTTTGACTTCAGGTTATCTGCCTTCATGTTCTTTTTCTTCTCAACAACAAAAGACAGACAGCAAATATAATACTCCTCCGATCCTTAATATAAGACCCATTTAACTAATTTGATTAGATTAAGAAAGTTAGGTAAGTTAGTTAATTATAAGAAAAATGACACATTTTTTCTAAAACACCATAATCATCTTTCTTAATACCTCATCTCCTTCTTCTACTTGATTATGGTTGAGGGAGTATCCATGGGGGTAATTTAGAGAAAATTGATAAATATGATAAATGGGTCTTATATTTAGAATCAAAACCAATTGAAGAATTGGATCCTATATTAAGGACCGGAGGAATATATATATTCTGACCTTTTTGACATTTGACCATGTTTTATTCAGAATATCCTTGAGGTTCTTAAACTTAATAATTCACTCTCCATTTAGCTCACAGTTAGCCCCTAATAAAGACGGAAGCGTACAGCGGAAGTGATGCCCCATAGCTCTCAACGAACTCGACAAATCTGTGCATGTATAACTTGACGTACGTGTTTGAAGTGGCGCCAAATAAGAGGACGTCTTTTAAATGAGTATGACAATCGATACTATTCAAACCAAACAATAAAATGGATAGGGAATTTGGCGAAGGAGTTTCCCTGTGCTTAATTGTTAGCAGAGCTGTTGTGAACCACCTCCCATCCCGTGAGAAGCCATAACTGACGTACATGCATCACCATGCTGGGCTGCAAGAGGCACAAAATGGCCAGAAAGAATTGATTAAGAAATTGTTCAGATTAAGAAATTTGATTCAACGGACTTCATGATGTCGTCAAGGTTATTCAAACATCACGTTTCAGTTTTAGAATTCCATTTTGTAGTCTATGCTCTCAGTTTTCTTTTTTTCTTTTTTCTTTTTTATTTTAAAGAAAACCTATTCGTCCGTATACAGAGCGGGGGCGCCGGGGTCAATAGACGACCGCAGTATTGTTTTATGCATGCATAAATATATAAACATACATGTGTGCGCGCGCGCGTATTTGGGTTGGCCCGACTTGCTTTGATCGGTAAAGAGGACGGTCCAGACCCGCCTCTGTGGGCCTCTCTCCCCCCCCCCCCAAAATGTCTTGTACTGAATTTCCCCTCGTTCACCCCAAAGCATTATGATCATTCAGTTTGGAGTGGATAAATCAAAATCGGTATATACATTATAAACAAAATCTTATATTTAAATCGGAAATAGTATTTTATATAAAAGTGTTAAGCATATTTCTTAATTCTTACACTAATGTGGTACTGCTTCCGATTCTTAATATTAGAACTAACTTAACATTCAGTTTGATCCTAAATATAAGACCCAATACATTTTTTCTTGTGTTTTATTTTTTTAAAAGTAATTTTTGTAGTTGTATATGTTAAATATTACATCAGATAATAGTTCTGACTAATATACATAATTAGCAGAGATATTTTAGGAAAGACAGCACATATTTAATACAAATAACTAACTTAATAAATTATCTTAATCTACTCAAATTAGTCAACTAACTTTTATATAAAAAACCAAAAGAATTACTATTTTCACAAAATGCGGGCGGTAACATGGTAGAATCAAGGCCATCCAATAAATGTATTGTGCAAAACACATTTATCTCATCTGATGAGATAACGCAAGGGAGGGAAGCCTCCAAAAATCTTCACACCCATTTCTTCTTCTCAATTTGTTACCCTAGCATATTTGGTGTCTTTTGTGTACATATCTCTTCAAAATTCGAATGCTAAAGTTCAATTAGTAAATCTTATAATGTGTTCATTCAATTGTTGTTCTTCTTAAAGGTGATTGAATAAGCTTAAAATTATATATCCACCACAAGAATGAAACAGACAACAAAGTTACGATCATTCTTAATTCTGGAATTGGGCCATGTATCTTGTCATATGCCGCTTTAAGATTAACAGATGTTTGGATACTCCCATAAGTATTTTTTAAAAAGTTTTTTTTTTATAAATCTAAATAAACTCCTTCACATATTTATTTCGTATACTGTAAAATTACTTTTAAAATCATTGATTGTTTTCCATACTCAACAACTTAATCCTCAAGCCAATTGAAAAGTTAGCTTTAGACGACACTGCCAATTAAAAACTTTAAGAATGAAATTATATCATAAATAATTTTATGACACTAAATGCACATAATAAAATATTTTTAGATATTAGATGCGCTTAATCCTTTTTAAAATAGAGTGATAAAGTAAAAAAACTTAATCTTTTTCGTATATATTAAGCCAATGCATTATTGAGGACACAAGCATATTTAAATTAACAGATAATGCATAAGAAACTAACAAACTCTGTGTTTTTTAAACACATTTTATTATTGCAAAAAGTCTGATAACCCGTGCACCCTTCGTACCACAGGTTCCGTTTGGCTTTCTACCCGTTTGGTGCCTTCTAGCTACAGCTTACAAATACGATGCGCCCACTCATCGTGGTTAATGGCTTTGTGGGGAAAGGGGGAAAAACGCGAGTCAATAATCAACAAGGAAGAAAACGGGGTGATGATAAACGAAAAATAAATACTCCGATTCTTAATATAAAATTTTGTTTAACTTTTATTTTGATTTTAAATATAAGACCCAATCTACTTTATCTCTCATATTTATACTTTTTTTTCCCCCTAAAATAGTCTTTTTAATAATGGTAGCTTTAACCAATACACTTGATTAGTAAGGATATTTTAAAAAAGACAACACATATTTATTACAAATAACTAACTTAACTTCTTTTCTTAATCTCTTCAAAGTCAACTAGCTTTTATAATTAAGACAAGAAGTAGTACATTTTAAGAAAATTCAATAATAAAGGATTCATCCTTTCTGATAGCATAACATTCTCTATGATTCGCAATAATACTACCTCTGGTCCTAATTATAAAAGCTAGTTGACTGATTTGAGGAGATTAAGAAAACAAGTTAAGTTAGTTATTTACCATAAATAGGTGTTGTCTTTCCTGAAATATCTTTGCTAATCAAGTGTATAGGCTAGAACTACCATTGTTAGAAGGACTATCTTAGGAAAAATATATATATAAATATTAGAAATAAAGTGAATTGAGATCTTATATTTATGATCAAAATAAAAGTCAAACAACATCATAAATATAGAACCAGAGTTAGTACTAAAATACTGGCAATTACACAGTTAGTCCCCGTGCAGTGTTTTACTTCTTGTTTCCCTCCCTTTCAGAGTCAACAAGTCACTCATCCCGACCTCTCTTGCAGATAGTTGCTTACATGCATTGAGACAATACGCAATTGTTGGATTTTGATTTTTTGAGGGGGAAAAAAAGACCACGATATTTGCGGGAATGGTTCTTTGAAAAATACAAAAAGAAGTGAAGAAAAAAATAATACACGATGTCTTAAAGGCGTGTATAGTACTTTTCATTATAGAATACAAGTTGAGTTGACGGACGAATTTCTTTTAAGATACAATAAAAATCCTTAAACATGGGTTGTACTTTTAATATTCAAACCAAAACAATAATAGCCTTTGCAAAGTGATCATTTATATGTGTCTCTGTGTATACTCAAAGATAAAGAGAATGAATTTAATTTTAATATGTTTGTATATTTGTGTTATGTGCACATGAAGTAATGATGAAAGGGG